ATGAATATCCCATGGTCGGACAAAAGAACAGATATGCCTTGGGGAAAGTACAGCCAATGTGCTCCTTGGAGGTAAAGATGGTGAAACTTCATCTTTCATACTTTGGACATGTAGCTAGGGGAGGCTACTCCCTGAAAAGGGACATCATGCTTGGAAAGAAAGAGGGTCAGCAAAGGAGAGAAGACCCTCTCCCAATGATATGGATTGACACAGTGACTTCAGCAATGGGCTGTAGTGTGTCAGAGGTGATGAGGATGGCACAGGATAAGGCAGGCTTCAGGCTAGCTGTTCAGGGTCACTCTAAAGCATACTAGACTCTGATGGCACCTAACAAAACAATCTGGATATGGTCAACTACTACAGGTCAAATCTAGGCATATTATTGTGTACCACTGCCCTTTCCCATTTAGAGCTAATCCATAAAGTCTAGATGCTGCCAAAGGCCCATAAATGCTAAAATCTCCTACTGTGAATCAAATTGAAATAAACTTTACTATGGGTCACCTTCAAATTTCATTGGCTAATGTTCTAGCTCTAGCTGACTTGTTAGAAAGCAAACAAATCAAAAGGTAGCACCAAAAAAATCTTCATAGTGATAGTTTTGTACCTTGAGTATGGGGTGGATATACGAATGTATGACTCGATAACATACACACAGAACTAAACACTCACACATACATAAATCTACTGTCTGATGCACAGCTGACACTCTAGCTCGTTTCCTAGGCTGCAAATCTCACAGCAAAAGATCGCTTATCTTGCTCTTGAAGAGTTTCTGGTGAATTCAAACCACCAGAGGTTAGGATGTTAGGTTAGCAGTGAACTCCCTATGTACTACACCTCCAACATTCCCTTATACAAATTAGGCTGTAAGTTATATAGTATCATTCCAGTGATACACATATGAAGTAATATATATATATATACACACACACACACACATACATTTAAAAGTCTACACACATTCCTGATACAATGATACACTACAGTTATGTAAGATGTTACCACTGGCGAGAACTGAGTGAAAATTATATAGATGTCTCTGCTACTTCCTTTGAATCTGTATTTATTTCAACATAGAAAAAAAATTTTTTTAAAGCCAAAGGAAAAGGAACTGCTCAAAAATAAGCATTTCTGAGAATTTCAGTACTTGTAAAATGTTTTAAAAATGGAAACATTTCATGAACTGATTTAAAGAGAGTGTTAAGCAATTAACACTCTCCACAATATAAATTTGCCAATGTGAAGTTTATTTTAACTCCTATGGTGAAAGACCTTTTATACTTTTGAAGTTAAATGGCAGAGAGAATTTATTTCAAAATGTCCATGACTGTCCTAAGACTTCATTAAAAAACACGAGCAAGTAGGAGAGCCAGGGATAAGTCTAGGCATATCCAGCAGAACAATGTGGAAGACGGAAGGACATGCTGCAAGCCTACTCTAACTTAACACATACCTGTGCTGTGGCTGTGCACGAGAAACACTCTTACAGACAGGTTAAAGGAGCCTTTCCCTCAGAGATCCTCTCAAATCATCAGCATATGATGGATAACTCAAATTATTTTTCTCTCAACAACTTCATTTCTAACTCTAAATCCCTCCTTTTTCTTAAATAGTGTATTTCCTAAGTACTGTGGGAGTAAGAAAAGGGCAGTTTATAAACACACACAAAGAGGCACTGATATCATTCCCCCACTTAGAGGGGGAAAGTTAGCATGACATTACACACCAAAACTCAAACTGGATAAATGTTGTAAATGTTAAAACAGAGAAGCAAAGAGCTCTGATAGGAAGTTGTCTATGAATTTAAAGGCCAAGTCTATGAAGGGAAAAAATGTCAATGTGAATACATACAACATTTATATCACACACACAAAAAAAATTAAGTCAGCATGCAGAGATAGGTATGTGTAACAGGTACAAAATAACAGTATCAATTTTAATGTTTCAAAATATTATTTCTAAATCAAAAGTATATATTAAATAACTGCTCCCCAAATCCAAAAGAGCACAAAGACATTATTTCAAATCATTAGAATAATTATAATTATTCAATATTCATGTCAGGTTTATACTAAGCACATAACTATGTAAATACTGCAATCATCGTCAATGAGCTAATTTACAAGATTAAAAGTATTATCGTTATATATCTCTGATTGCCCAAACTCTTCTCTCTTACATGACAAATAACTCCAATAGGAATAGGAAGGAAAAACAAAGAAAGCTTTCCATAAAAACAGCATTGCAGAAATGGTGGTCAATCCTGCCAAAAGCACTCTATATGTTTAATGCGATTCCAATACAGACATTAAATTCCTTTTCAAAGAGACAGAAAAATACTGGCAAGTTTGTTTTGAAAGAAAAGAGAACCTGAATAAGCAAAGTACTTCTGAAAAACAAAAATGAAGTGGGAGGCATAGCACTCTGATCTCAAAACCTACTACACAGCTGTAATAACCAAAATAGCAAGGTTCTTGAACAATGACAGACAGATAGATCAATGGAACAGAATAAAAAACCCAGAAATTAACTGATCTATCTATTGATTGTCTACTGGTATTCAACAAAGAAAAAAACCCTATCACACAGGGAGATGATAACCACTTCAACATATGGTGCTGGCAAAACTAGACTGCTACCTGCAGAAAAGCTGAAGCAGGTTCCACATCTCACACCATACACAAAAATCAACTCAAGGTCGATCTGGGAGTAAAGCCCAAAACCGTAAAGATCATAAGAGACAATATGGTACTGAACTTAGCAGTTCTAGCCTATGGTATAAATAGGCTGGCAAACACAGTCAGAAATGCACAAACAAGAGAGAATAACATCAATAAATGGGGCCTTCTAAAGAGTAAGTTTCTGTGTGCATCAAAAACATTTTCCAATGGGGTGAAAGAAAATCTACTGTCTGGGAAAAACATTTGGCAATGACATCTCATACAAGGGTCTCATAATGAAAGTCTACAGAATACTATATATAGTACCTCCACAAGAAAAAGACTGATAATCCAATTACAAATTGGGCAAAAGACATGGAAAGACTTTCGACACTGAAATGGCCAACAGACACATAAAGAAATGCTCAAGAACAAAAGCAATAAGAGGGATGCAAATAAAAACTTCAATGAGATACCATCTCACCTCAGTAACACTGGCAAAGTTTAACAGGACAGCAAGTAATAAATGTTGGGAAAGCATGTGGAGATTGGAACTCTCATACACTGTTGATAGGATTATAAAATGGAACACTCTGGAAGACAGCTTGGCATGTCTTCAAAAGGCAGAACACAGAAATTCCATATAATCTAGCTATTCCACAGCTAGGAATACACCCCAAGGAAAACAGAATTGAGGCACAAATGAAGATTTATATACCATAGTTCACAACAGTGTTATTCACCATAGCAAGAAAATGAAAACAGTCTAAATGTCCATTAACAAATGAATGTACTGAGAAATTGATTCATTCACATGATGGAATCCTAGGCAGCACCCAGGAGCAAAGACTTAAAAAAAATACTATGTAACATGGAAGAAGCCTGAGAGCATTATGCTGAGTGAACTAACTCAGTCTCATAAGAACAAATACCGCATAAGATCACTACTGTAAAAATAAAAGGATAATAGAACGATGTGGATAAAAAAAGTTCAAGGGGGCAAGACAAAGGGGTAGGAAGGCTGAAGTGAGGTGAAATCCCGGGGTTGCAGAGTCTGGTGATAAAAGGGAAGGGGTAAGGAAATTGTGAACGATCCAGTGGGGAACTGAAAAGATGAAATAATAGTAGGCATAGCTCAATGGTGATTAATTTTATAATTAATTACCCACAAAGTATGGAAATGATTATATCAAACACAATGTGAATGAAAGAAGGTATGAAACACAATGAATATTAATGAAATACAATGTACATGTACATAAATTTTGCTTGCAAACCAAACTTTTTTAAAATTGTTGAAAAAAACCACACAAAATACATTAAAAAATGGTGGGCAAACTATTCTCAGCTAAACAATGATTTTCAGTGTTTTGGTTTCCTAACAACCACCTAGGTACTTACCTAAAATGCTGATTCCTGAGCCTCACAGCCAGATATTCTGATTAAGCAGGTCTGGACTGGGCCCCAGTGTGGCAATTATTCCAGGTCACAAATTGAAAAATCACTTAAAGTTTAATTTATCAAAGCCATCATCACATTAGCTATAATTATGAAGCCGTGGCATGCCAGGCACCATTTTACATAATTTATGTTTGCTGTTTCATTTCCATTCTCACAACCAACTCAGCATCATACTTTTATCTCTAACATGTTCAAGGTTAAAATAACCAATAGGTAGCAATGCTGAAGTCTACAACTCCAAAGATTTCTTGGCACATCCTATAGGCCATCACAAGACCTAGACAAAATGATAATTTGGTGGCCTAACCACAGTGTATCCCAAAGAGGCACAAAAAAGGGCTTGGGATATCCAGAAATGGCATCAGTGAAGTGCCAAGTGGCTTCTGGCCTCCTTACTATAAATGCAGTTGTATAATTACAATAGGATGAAATCTTGATCATCACTGCTAAGTTTCATGTGAAAACATGTAGTTAAACTACACCCTGTGTAGTTTAAACCTAAGTTACAGTGATGTAACTTGCTGCAGATGTACTGATACCTGGTAATAACCACTGGATTATCCTGAGTACAACCTCACCATAGACTGTGCATACTTAACAGCGTCACAGAATCTCTATGTGAGAAATATAGCATACCTCACGGTGCCCTCCTTTGAGAAGCTATGACCCTCCAACATCATGTAATTATTCAGTTTACTACAGGATGTACAAGTGTTTAACAGCCAGCTAAGCACAAACCACAGTGAATGGTCTAAAAATGGACAAATTCAAGGAGACACTTTCCCTGGAAACTTCTCAAATGAAAGAAGTAATCTGCAAGGAGCAGAAAGGTCCTTGAACAAAATCCTGTATGCAGTGGAAGAGACTAAGACTCTTCCAGTCCTAGAGGTCCCTAGGGTTGTACTGGTTATTAACAGTTCTTTCAATTCTTTTCTTTGCAGTGACCCATATAAACTAATAAATATCCATTTTGCTTAGTTTTATTGGATTTTACTTACTAGCAACCAAAAATTGTACTATAATATTAGCTACATTTTACAGGTGAGCAACTGAAGCACAGAGAGGTGATGTCATTTGGCCAAAGTCTCAAGGCAACCAGAGACAGAGTAAGAACGCAGGTTTGTATCACTCTTATTTTCTGAATGCTACAATACTGACTTCAAACAGAACATACTGAAAATGAGTTTCACTGAAAAACTGTTCTTATTATTTTAAGTCCTTTGAGAATGTGAAAGGTCCTATACAAGTACTTTGTTGTAAGGTCGCGATGTTCTGTAAAATTTGACCACTGGAATATAGTGGGGTAACAGCAGTTCCCATGTTTTAACTAAAAGAAATTACAGTTCTAATAATTCATGAAAGACTGCAACAAAAACTAAGAATGAAGTGATAATCAAGTTCTTTAAAAAAGATGTTGGTTTGCTTGACGGCCTTGATTATCCACTGCTGAAATACCATCAAAATTGGACTCATCACAGCAGCTTTATAAAAACAGAATGTGTAGAAAAATCACAGGATACATAGTTGCTAATCTCGGTCCTTTGGGCTGCCCTGTGGGCTTTCCCAAATTATTTACACAAAAAAAGAAGTTGCTAACAACCCATATCCCATTATAGCGAAAAAAGCTGGTTTAACTCTATGAGAAATCTAAAAAAAAAAAAAAAAAGGTTATAAATAATATGTAAAATAAAATTCCCCAGGCGGCCTCGGATATTGTTAATCCTTTTTTAACAGATTTCTGATGATATTTTAGACAATTATCTGACATTAATTCAGTGGTAAAGGTTTTCCATGATGCTCCTCTGCCAGTCTTCCCTTATTCACGCAAATACGGTGAAATGCAGCTCACCACTCTTTTACAAATATTGATAGAACTTTCAAAGTATGCACTACTCCGCTGGATCAAATGTGCCAGCTGCTCTTAAGGACAACAGGCAGTCTCCTTTGCCATTTACAACCTCAGAAAACGGACTGGAAGGTCAGCAATGAGTTAAGTTTGACAGACCTTTAGTTTTAACTTAAATCTATGTCTCCTTTAAAATGAGGAGCTATGCTATTCACATGACCTATAGAAGTTCAGTTTTGTGACTCAATGTCGACACATCAAAACAAGATTTCAGTAATGCACACACATACTTACTGCCATCTAATCAGAACAGACTCATAGCCGATCCTCCAGTCAATTTTCAAAGGCTCTTAACTGCATGGGGGAAGACTGCCCCTCTATCTCCCCAGGAGTAGCTGGTGGATTCTAATGAAACTCTCCCAGGTTGGAAGCACAAATTCCTGTTCACTAGGCCAAAAGTTCCATAGAGTATTCATCAAAACTGAAATAGTCTCTACATTTCAAATAAAGTGATTTTGTTAAAATTAGCTATCCACTGTGATATGCAAACTCAATGTATAAAATTCTGTCAAAAAGATGGTATAAATAACTGAAACAATGTACTAAAAATGAACGCCCCTTTTTATCAAACTGAAACACCAGCTTTCCAGTCTAATTTCAGCCAATGTTTGGTTAAAGTGTTTCTCCTGTACAATTCTACCTAGGATAAAAATAATTTTTCTGTAATTTTAGATGACTCACAATAACACACCAGAATAGAAACAGCTTCGCTTCTTCCACCTGTCAGTTTCATGAGCTCATTCAAGTCTTCAGCTTCTTATGTTGCAGATAATTGAGGGTTCCCGAACCTGACTTGGGAGGCAGTTTTGCCTTTATGAAGAATCTTGATGTCTCAGGAATCGCCTCATCCAGAAACGAATCAGAGACTAAATCACGGTAATCGAGCTTTTCTGTACTGCTCCTCTCTGCTCAAACTTCCACTTTTCATTCTGACAATGACCATAGCGCAGAAAAATGTTAACAGCACAAGGCAGTCGCAGAGTTGTTTCCTCAAAAGAGGGGCCTACAAACAAGGTTACCTGAGCTTCTTTTGTAATTGTAAGGCAGTTCAAATGCCCAGATTTTGTTAAGCATTGCCAAAATGCATTAAAGCCTTGCCAAACACATCGCCTGTTCCCCATTTAAATTTCCAGCTGATCCAACCTCTGGCAGTGATTCGTGCAAATCTACCTACGCGATTATTATGCTGCTTTTAAAATATCCACTGGCAAAGAGAACTATTCCTTTCATCCCATCTCACAACAGACTTCAGTGTTATCGCTCTCATGTTTTAAGTTCTGAAAAGTTTCGGAATAGATTGCTTTCCAAGGAAAACTTAAAACCAGAATAAATGCCAGGTCCAGATTTAACTCATCGCCCCTGTATTAATGAAAAATTTAAACGTCAACACATAAAAACCAGACGACCCAGGGAAGAGGGGAGGGGGAAAACCCCAACTGAGGCGCCAGACTGATTAAATATCTCAACTCCAACTCCATGGAAACAGGAGGGAATTCTCACTAGCCAGACAGCAGGAAGGCTTTTTGTAGGACACCTCTTACTTTCAACGAATCCTAAAAATCAGGGGTGCGGGGAGGGAGGGCACAAATAGCAAAACTTAAGCATTAATACTAACTGGTGTAAAGAATGTTTAAGGGCGAGGTCAGAAGCCAAATGCCAGGAGGACGGGATGCTCCGCGGCTGGAGGGAGCTGCGCGGGGGTTGAGCGGGAGGAGGGAAATGCGCGAAAGGGGTCAGAGCTGGCGGCAAAGCAGCGGGAGGCAAGGGCCCGGCGGCGGGAAGCGCGGGGCGCACAGCGAGCAGCCGGCAGGCCGAGCCCCGCTCCCGCGCCACGCGCCGCGGAACAG